CCACAGCAGGGACTGTGGGAAGCAGGCTTTGTAGTGACAAGAGCATTAGGTGACCATCAGTTCTTACAGGAGGCTATGACTGGCTCGCTTGAAAAATTTCACAGGCTAAAAGGAGGTGAAACTCATGAGGCTGAGAATTGGGGAGTGGGGAGCTGCAGTTTGATCAGCTAATAAGAAAATTAGCCAAGTGGGGGATCCTTTCCCACTACATGGGGAGCATACCTGGCAAGAGCAGGGGAATACAGACCTAGGCTTTTAGGGCCCTGTGAGGCTCAAAAATATGAAGGCAATGCTTGAAATTTTAGGTCTCGCAATACACCATACGTTTAGGGAATTCATCCTGTTATTAGACTCCTTTCCTCTGCACAGAGACATGACAAAGAATTGCAAGGGACACATGTACTATACCTATCACCAACAGATTAAGGCTGCCTTCTCACATCCTCTTAAACAGCCTCTATGTGCTCTTCAACCTGGAGATTACATCTACTTGAAAAACAGAGAAAAATTACTCTTGAACTCTGTTGGAAGTAATGTTAGTACTATTAACAACAGTACAGTAGTGAAACTCAAGTCATATTTTACAACTAAGTAACAATCCAGAACTCTATAGAATTAGAAGATAAATCCAATAGAGAGCCTCAAATCCAGGTTTCTCAATGATCTTCTAGAAGCATCTGATATTTTAAATTAGATGACCTTTGAAACAAGCAGAGGACCTTGTATAGTGGACAGCTTCTGCCCAAGACATCAGATTCAGATTCCTATGTCATTTTTCGTCTCCTTGGTTATAATTATTATTATTTTATGAATCTCTGGTTGTTGTATACCCATAATAACCCTCTTTCTCTTTCTGAATTGTAATGACTAGGTCAGAACATACTAATTCTAATGTCTAATGCCACTCTTAAATTAGTCCAAAGAGTAGCCACTGCCAATTTACCAAATGCTGGATATACCTTTCATCAGCAGACCCCAATTATAAAAACCTCTGGATAATTCTGTTTTCATCAAATGAAGCCAAAAGGAACTACAGCTGAATAATGCTATCATTATGTAATTATTATAAAAAGCAGAATAAATTACACCTGTATAGACAAATCACTTTAAAAAAAAATCAACATATTATTTCGCTAGTACTCTTTCCTGGAAAAAGAACCAATTATTGCAATCTATTGATCATATCATAGGTAATTCACAAAAATGTTTCTAGAGCAATGGACAAATTACTTGTCACCAGAAAGAGACTAATACAAATTTAAATGTATAACCTAGCTAACATAAAGCCTAAGTTCTGACCTCATGTCATTAACAACTAATTATTTTCTTGGTTCTTCATGGAGCCATTGGATACTACCTATATTCAAGATGCCTGTTTTTGTTTGTCCCAGACTAACACTTCATGCACTTCAAGAAAACTATTCCAAGATTTGTCATTACACAGAAGCCTTTCTTCTGTAAATTACCAATGCTGGAAATTCTAACTCAGACACAAGTTTCAAAATAGTGTCATCCTTGACTATTCGGGCACTTAGCCTGGGGGAATTACTAACTCATCATTTATGCAAATGATCATGGCAGTATTCCCAAAGGTAGAAATCATAAAAATAGAAAAAAAAACAACAACAACACTGTAAGAAACTCATCACTAACTCTGTCATAAGTGACTAATGATACTACTTCTTCCCTAAGTGTAATACAGATCAGTCTCAATTTCTTGGGCATAAGTACTGATGTACAGTCACAGTGCTTAAAACTTCCTTGTTGGTGAATGATGATGACACCTGTCCCATTGCAAATACTTCTTGCTGTATCTGGATCAATGAAACAGACAAGGTAGGGAAAGCTACTTGGCTAAGGTTAAACTTCATGGCCTACAGAACTTGCTCTTTTGGTCTGAGTTAGGCATTCAGAGTTCCTGGTTCTAAAATCTCAGAACAACTATTGTTTTTATTTTCATCATAGTGATCATGATGCTGGTTTGGTACATTCTATTCAGAGTTTTAAATGCTTCTGTGCAGCTGTTCCCTGATTAAATGATCACTGTGGTGATGTAACAACAACAAAAAAATCAACATCTAGAATTCAAATGACTAGGGAGAAAACTGAACAACTCTTGAATGGGAAGATACTGATTTTCAGCATTTCTTGTATTGGCCAATCTCTTAGAAATGAGATAATGGCACAGAGGGAGGACTTCAAGACTGAATATACCAACTGCCAACGGGGAGACAACATATGACAATAGAAGTCCATTCACAACCTCCTTAGAAAAGTTAAATTACCACCTCTGCTGCAATGGGCCCAGAACAGTGAAAAATGATTTAAACATAGACAAAATATTCATGAACATAAACAAAAATTTCTTTTTTTTTTTTTTTTTTTTTTT